AGACGAAATGGGGGTCAATTAACTCGGCTCCGTTTGTGCAGCAAAAATTTAAGAAAGTGGGGGGGCTGGTTGACCTTTGATGACCTCTAGAAATATTTCTTTATATCTTTAAAATGAAAGCGGCACAAACGAAAATTTTTGCTGCACAAACGTTTGACGCCAATTTTGTCTAATTTGAATAAGGTGGGGGGGCTGGTTGACCTTTTGACCTTTACATTTTCATTAATATCTTCAAATCCAAAGCAGCACAAACGTTTGACACTAATTTTGTCTGATTTGAAGAAGGTGGGGGAGGGGCAACTTCACTCAGGTGTGTGATGAACCTCAACATCTGACCTTGTTTCCTGCGTCTCTAAGCCCTGATTAGATTATAATTTGTCGTATCCACTTCCCAAAACTCGACTCTGTCAAGTAAATTCTGCCTTCTTCGCCTGATTCTCAGCCAACAACGAAATATCTCAATTGTAACCAAACATAATCTCCTGAATTTGTTTCAGGAGGTTATGTTTGGCAACTGATTTGTTTGTTTACCTCTAAAGAGCAGTAGTACCATAGATCATCACTAGGAGGCGAGGAACCGTGCTGGCGTGACGTGTAAACGGTCATAAGGAACCAATGTCCGAACTCAGCATGGATCGGTTCTCTGAGGGTTAGTGGAAATAGAGCAACTGAATCTTCTTAATGAGATTAGTATCATGTCCCATCATTTCAAATCACTTAAATAAACCAAAACAGGGTTGCAGCCACCAAAGCCTCTGAGGATTTATACTGCTCTACCAGGGCTAACATGTCTCCGCTATGGCAGAGTCTCCTACTCCGGTGCACAAAAAGACACCATTCTTGATCTGTTGATGCATCCACGTTCCAACACAGGTGAATCAATCGAATGGCTCATATTGATTTATGGAAAATAAACCACTTCAGACTTTTGATTCGCGTATGTTGGTGGATCAATGCATCAATAAGATGCAGGACAGAAGTTTTAATGTGCTGGAGTTGGAGACCCCTGACTACATGTATAAAATAAGTCTACTTGTATTTCCCAGGGTGTCAGAAAAATATCTTGAACTATATGAAGTTAAAGCCTCGGAGTCCATGTTCTCAGTCACTCTTGTCTGAATGTCCGGCTAGTTTTTCTTTATTTGTAAGCTTGTGGTTCTCCATCCACTTCTTATATTTAGCCTTAGTTTTCTTGTAGCCAAACCTGGCTATGTCCACCATGAAGACCCACGCTAACAGATACATAACCACACCGCCGAGCTTCATGATCAGCAAAGTTCTGGGAGAGGTGAGCTCGCAGTAAAACATTACAGTCCCAACGCCAACCCGCACCGTGGCGAACAGCAAGATGAAGAGCAGGTCCACGGCGTCTCCAAGCAGGCTGTCGTACAGGTCCAGCTGGCGAAGGAACCAGCGGGTCTGCAGCAAGGGGTTGGTGAGCTCGCTGCCGAAGATGACCCCGCAGGTTTCACAGCCCGACACGCCCATCAGAAGGGACAGAAGGATGCCCAGAATGCTAGTGACGTGATGCGCCAGCATGACCGGCCCCTCGCTCCGGTAGCACATGCACCAACCCATGTCGAAGAAGAAGTAGCCCAGGCAGACCGCCAAGGCAAATACCTGGAGTTCAGTGTTTTCTGTCCCTGCAGGGAAATCACAAAC